TTTTTTATATATATATATTTTTTTTTAGTTGTCCAGCTAATTTCTTTCTCTTTTTAGTAGGGACGGGGTCTCGCTCTTGCTCAGGCTGGTCTCGAACTCCTGAGCTCAAATGATCCACCACGCCCGGCCACCAGTGAACTTTTTGAAAGGTCAAGATACAGGTAGGGAAGTATGTTTATCCAGGTGGTCATACATATTCTGATTTCTTACAGATTGTACCGAAAAGAAGTTCTACAGAAATTAATAGAAAAATGTGTTTCTAAAGGCTATGTCTTCCAGATGGAGATGATTGTTCGGGCAAGACAGTTGAATTATACTATTGGTGAGGTATGTAACTGATACAAAATAGTATGTTGTATTCCTTGTAAAGAAACAGTAAAGTTTAGACTTTTTGTAATAAAAAGTTTAATGTTCATAACTACTAAGTGCGAGGTCTTGTAGTTGTTTATTTAGCATGTCCATGCACTACAGGGTAAAAATTCAAATCCCTTTCAATTAATACATTTGACTTAGCATGATTTAAAACATTAACAGAAGGCAGCATTCTCTTTTAAATAAGTAAGTTACTGGTACCTTCTCTATCCCAGCCCTTTCTTCTGACCAGTCAGCACTGTGGGCTGGGTCTCTTTGCTGCTTTTCCTCTTGACACAGCCAGCAGCCACCATACTTCCTACCTCACAATCAATGAAAAATCTCTCATGCCCATTTCCTGTGATTAAATGAAAATGGCCAGGAATTAGAGAGTAAGGGGATGGAGGGTGGTCTGCACTATTTAGGCCTGGCTAGTGAGCTCTTAGGAAATCTCTCATTTAACACATTAGGAGCTGGCTGTGGAAGGTCAAATAAAAAGAAAAATGAAGCCTCTGTAGACTAAAAAGTAAATAAATTAGAAAGCAGAACTTGGCATATAAAAGAGAGGGGTCCTTATAACATCCCTTCACTTCCACACTTGAAGGCAGAAGAACCAGCAGAGATCTGATTAAGGTTTCTGGTTGCCATGTAGCAACAATACAAGGAATAGTGGCACTCACAGAATCTCTGTACAGGTGGAGGGGCCAGTGTGGATTTCACGGGCCACAATTTCGGTGGCTTCGAATGAAGACCCAGGGTAGCTCCGTGGGTCGTAGAGGCTGTGAAGAGAAACACAGCAGGGAGAGTAACAGGGTAAGGGTGCCTTGCTGCCTTAGAACTATGTGGGGATGAGTGAAGGGGGTGGGGATGAAAGATGGCCTGGGAGTTGTGGATTTCGGGCAGTGAGCGCAGTGATTGGGCACGTTCTGTACAAATGACGGAGCAGCGAAACACAGACAAAAGTGAGCCTGTTAATTTCCCACTTGTTTTAAATAGTTAAAGCTCATTGTCTTCTCGTAAGAATAGTGGTTTCTTAAACACATGCATTAAAGTTCAGCTTGTCATTAGACAAAGCTCGTTGCTGTTAGATCCCTAGATTTAGGAAGTAGGTACCTTTCACGAAATAAGAAAAGGAATCCCAAAAAAGACTGCAGTCTGACACAAAGCCATTTAATAGCAAAGACCACCTGGATCCTAATCCTATTTATGGGATCATATGGCTTCATATATATAATTTGACTTGATTAGCCATAATTTTAAAGATATTGTGGGGAGGAGAGGGAGGTGGCAGTGAAAAAAGGTACCTTAGAAAATGACTCTTAAAGGGAAATTATTCATAGCCCAATCCCGATTTTAAAGGTAATGCTGAAACATTGTCCTGTCACTATCATAGATCTTCCCACCCCACAATCCCAATCCTTCCTCTCCTATTTAACAGCATATGACATATTATATATTTTTAATTCATTGCTAAAACCTCAAAACATTAAAAAAGTGCCTGAAGCCACCCAGCATGTTGCTCCATAAATACTTGTTACTGAATAAATATTGCTACCATCAGATTCTTCTGTCTTCATACTTATTCCAAACTTAACTTCTTGGGATTCTTATGGAAACTGTGGGTAAAGGAGTACACACAGTAAGCTCCCTCAGGTTCTTGTAAAGGCTGTGCTTGTCTTATACCCACTTAAAAGCCAAAAGTAGGGTAGCTTTAGAAGAAATCTGAGGAAAAAATGCAGGTTCCAGGTGAAACCCTCAGGCAGTGTAGGTCCAGGTGGCCTTAACTTTAAAGCGAACAAAGTTACACCAAACTGCCTTTCCTAACTTTCTCCCAAATAAAGGATAAAAATTGCTGCCTCCCCACCCACTGAGACTGTGATTTTTTTTTTTTTTTTTAACTTCTGTGACTCTTGAAACAGGGAGCTCCCTGCTATTCAGAGTTACTGAAGAAAGTGATTTGGTTCACCCGTAGGACTTCCAGCTCCTCTGTCTTAACTTTGTGAATCTGGTGAGTTCCGTGTTTGGCCTGGTGATCCGCCTGAGGTCAGGCTGCACATTAGCCACTGCACACATGTCTAACTGTGACCTCAGTTGTTGACAGCTGAATCCCACCAAGATTGCCTCTGTGCTGTGATGTCTAGTTCCTGTCTTATCCTAGCTCATCCTACAGGGCCTTAGTTTATCCTAGGAAATTGATTAAGTAAATGTTGGGAATTAGAAACTTATTGTAGTCATTTATGGGGTAATTCCTGGTAATTATAGGGTTCTTTGTCATCTAATATATATTGTTGCTTCATTGTCATCTGTCAACTCAGTTGCT